GCAAATTGGTCTATGAACTGGAGCAAAAGACGAAATTTTGGAGGGACCCACAGGCAGGGATAGGGTGGATGGAAGAAGAAATTACTGTTTATCACAGTGCAATCTCCTTTGTAAACATGGAGGTGGCGTCACCTTTCTGCTACTTCCTCCTCTGCTCAAGCTCCACATCTTGCACAGGGAAACAGCCACGTCTGAACACATAAAAGGATTAAGCGTATTAATAATTTGCAGACCAAAAATGCCATTCACTTGCAGTTATGCATGATAAGAGAGGCAGTGAGGACTCAAACTGCTGAGCCAGAACATCAGTTAGGACAGGGGTGGGCAATTATTTGGGTCAAAGGGCCTCTTAGGGAATTTTGGGAGGTGTCGCAGGCTGCGTCAGCATCCCCCCCCCATGCACACAGCAGCTCACCAAAAATCCCTACGTGGCTCTGGTCCACACTGGGCCAGGTGGCTGGGATGGGGCTGTGGGCCGTCAGGGAGTGGCATCGGGGACCGGGACAGGCAGGTGGGGCTGAAGCGGGGATCGCAGGGCCGTGACAGTGTGGAGCCGGGGACCGGAGCAGGGCCACGATCTGCTCCTAACATGCCCCTGCAACGGGCACCAGTTCTGTGGGCAGGGGCATGCGGGAAGCCGATCATGCCTCAGCCCCACACTGTCACCTCCCTGCAATCTCCCTGGAGATCTTCCTGGAGACTGGCCAGGACCCATGCTGCCAGGGCTCACTGTCAGGCAGGTGGGATGGAGCTGCAGGCGGGTGGGAGTGGTATCTGGGAGCAGGATGGGCCAAGACCTTGGGGTGGTGACAGTGCGGGGCCAGAGTCTGCAATCCACTCGCTGCATGCCCCTGCCTGCAGAACCAGCGCCCATTGCAGGGACATGAGGGCAGCGGATCATGGCTCTGTCCTGAGTCCTGTCCCCGTGCTGTCACTGCACTGCGATCCCACCCTGTGATCTCATCTCGCTCCCGGCCACCGTTCTCTGCCTGGCCGTGGCCCTATCCCAGTTGCCCAGCCATGCACCCTGCCCACGCAGGTCCTACCCTCAGCAATGGGCATGGGGTGGATGAGCCAGTAAGAGTTGCTGCCTGGGCTGCCAGGAAGGAAGTCTGGGCACTGTGCTGCCCCAGCCCTGCTGGGCAAGCAGGGGTGGCGGGACCAGCCTCATGTATCATGGCCTGGACTGGCCCCCACACTTGGGCTGGACAGGACCAAGGGACCCACTGTGGACTGGACAAAATCCCTTTGCAGGCTGGATCCAGCTCATAGGCTGTATTTTTCCCACCCCTGAGTTAGAAAATACAATAGGCCCTTCCAATACCAAGAAATTACCTTATCTGTTATTTGTGAGGCCACCTAGATATATCTATTTAACTGCTGGGTAACACAGCTTAGAAAACCCAACATCTACAATTCTAGAAATTTACAGTGAAAGTTCTAGAAACATCTCATCAGCATCAAACGACCGCCTACAACTGTGAAGTTAGTCTGCAGCAAAACCCACTGAAAGCTGGCACTTTTTTGCAGCCTCTCTCTCTAGCCATAAGTCCATCACATCAAACTACCATCCTACCAAAACCCAGTGCTTTTCATTTATGCTGTTAACATGGCAACCAGCAAACACAATCTCAGGTGCTACATCTAGGGAAAAATGAGCAAACACACAAATATAGACAGGGGTACAACTGCCTAGGCAGCAGCACTACCAAAAAGCATATGGGAGCTATGGAAAACCACAAGCTTAACTTGAGTCACTAGGATGGTGAAGATGCAAAGCAAATACAATCTGAGCTGTATGAACATGAGCTTGTAAGCAAGACACAGGGCATGTCTACATGTGTATTTATGCCAGCTTAAATTTACTGCGCAGTAAATTACTGCACAGTAAGTAGGAATAGGCCAGTGTCTCCACATGCAGGTGTGAAAGCACATTAATGCTGTGTGTGGACTGGCTTGGACTAGAGTTAGTCCCAAGTCAGTCCATACACATAGTGTTACTGCGCAGTAAGGCGTCTACATGTACATCATTATTGTGTAGTAACTAATCAGGAGTAAATATGATACCTGCATGATGTAGGTATCAGATTTATGCTCAAATCGGTATAAGTTACATATTTACTGTATAGTACGGGCCTGCACATGCAGACGCGTCCCCATGCTGCACAGTAATTTTGGTTTCTGCACAATAAATGCACATATGTAGGCGCGCCCACAGGAGGTGATAGTATCACACTACTCAGTGCTGGTTAGGCCTCAGCTGGAAAACTGTGTCCAGTTCTAGGCGCTACATTTTAAGAAGGAAATAGAGAAACTGGGGTAGTCCCAAGGCCGGCAACCAGGATGACAAAGGGTCTGGAAATCAAGCTGTATGAAGAAAGTTGGTTAGTCTGAAGGAAAGGAGATTAAGGGGAACATAAGAACAGTTTTCAGCCATTTGAAAGGCTGCCATAGAGAAAAGCCACTGGTCTCTCTTGCCATAGCAATGGATTTAACCAGCAGCATTGATTAAATCTCAAGCAAAACTTCCTAACTGTAAGAATCATAGAAGACAAGAACAACCTGTGCAGCGAAGATGTGGAGTCTCCTTCACCGGAGATTTTCAATGAGAGGCTGGGCAGGCGGCTTCTGTCTGCAATGATTTAGAAATAAAACACTGCACATCCATGCAGGGGGCTGGACTGGCTCAGTCCTTTTGTCCCTTCCAACCCTCGGAGTTTTTGATTCTCTCACAAGCCGGCCCCTTACCTGCTGCAAAGCATAGTCTCTAGGGTTGCCAGCAACAGCAACTCAGATGTGCCCATTAGCAATGGGAACTGCTAACCTACCACGTGCCGCTCTCTCCAGTCAGTCTGGAAATAAAACTGTCTTCCATTTGCTGCAATAACAGAGATCCAGCCTGTGCACTAACTGAATCCTGGTATCAGAGCTGAAATCCTGGTCCCACAGACGTGAAAGGAAATTTTGGATTTCACCCAAGATCACTATGCATGAATATGCACAAAGGGAGATATTATGCTATTATGCAGGGAAGTAGCACAAGGCCTAGGGGCCAATTCAGCATAAGTAAAGCTCACACCATAGGACTTAACGGGGTTCCTAAGCTGCACAAGGGGGAATTCCTCCTGCAGCATGATTAAACGTCACCAGTGCGGTGAATTTGCACTTGTGACTCAATCAAGTGCTTCTCCCCAGCTCTGCCAGCACATCTTTCTATTCCCAGTTAGGGATGCGGGAAGGCTGAGACAAAGTGAAATGACTGCAGGGACAGTGTGGGATCAGAGGCATGCAGTTTCTAAATCCCAAGCCCCCTGCTCTGACCATGCCTCCCTCTTCACCCTCCGTGGAAATGGACCTCCAGAAGCTGGGGGTGCATGAAGCATGCAGTGCAACTTGGCCGCTGTTCAAGTTACACAATGCGTCGACATGGTTAACTGAATTTCACTCGGTAAGACTGCAGTATTTTGGTTGCACACTTCACTGAAACCCGTCACACCTGGGGAACTGACCTGCTCTCCAGAAGAGAGGAACAGTTACTTATTGACAATGTCCCAGCGTTTCACAATCCCCAGAGCCCTATAAATACAGGGAGGTGGGCTTAGCTCCTTCGTCACCGAAACTTCAGTCTCGATTGATCAAAGAGCTACTCTCAGGTGACACAAAGATCCCAGGTGACCGACAGTCATGAGGTTCCTTTACCTGCTTCTTGCTGTTCTCTTCTTCCTCTTCCAGGCTTCCTCAGGTGAGATGTTAAATAGATGATGCTAAGAAGGAAGAATGGGTTAGGGTGGGGAGGGGTGGGGTGCATTTATGTACAAGGAAGACGAAGCTATATGACTTAATAACAGGCTCAATCTATGATTTGTGATTCTGTGACTCTAAGACTATGAGGGTGGTCAAGCACGGGACCAGCCTACCTGGAGAAGCTGTGGACTCTCCATCCCTGGAAATTTTCCAGAGCAGGTTAGATAGACACTTGGCTGGGATGGTTTAGTCAAGGATGTTTCTGCCGTGATCAGAACAAGACTAAATGACTTCATAAGGTCCCTTCTGGCCCTATGATCCTATGATCTTGTCCCTCAAGGCACAGAGAGGGTAAATGCAATACTGAGGATGGCATATTTCAAGGGTAGGCAACCCCTGGCATGGGTGCCAGAGCATAGCACATGAAAGCATTTGGCTTCGCACACATGCCTTAGGGTAGACAGCAGGACCTGCAATGCCACAAGAAGGATCAGGCCCCTTGTAGCTCCCCCGCCATCTGCTCCTGGCATGCCAACATCTTACAAATCATGGTTATGGGTGTTTTTTGGCACTCTGCCCAAAAATGCTGCCAACCCCTGGTACAGTCAATACATTTGGATGGCATTAAGATGCCATCTGTATCCAGTTCCATTGCCACACTTCAAAAGTGAGACTTTTCTTACATTTGGCATTTGAGAGCTGTGTTTTTTGCAAGTGGTGTATAGATATTCAAGTACCTACCTGAGAAAACGATATCCACCAGCAAAGGCCTTTTTAATTTAGCAAAGAAAAGGATAATAAGATCCATTGGCTGGAAGGTGAAATTTGACAAATTCAATCTATGACCAAGACATATTTTTAAGGTAGAGGGTACTTAACCACTGGGACAGGTTAAGAGGGTATGTAATGGATTCACTGCTATTTGAAGTCTTCGAAACAAGACGATACTTATTAGAGACAGTCACAAATTTTTTGACCAAATATTGTTTTGGTCAGATAATGCCAGTCCACTGAAACAAGAGTCACATTGTAGTGACAGGCACTTTTGCCAGCTATCCGTTTTGGAAGCTGGTACTTTTAAGGAACAATGTTTAACTGTGACAGTCATCAATGGGGAAAGCTTGTGGCTTAGGGCACCTATACACATGACAGACCTCTGCTCTGACATGCTAATTAGTATGCATCGGACCAGACTTGATTAATCTAGTCTGCTGCAAGTCTGCTGGAGCGTGCTAATTAGCGTGCTCCAGCAGCCTCCGCATCGTGTGTATTCAGCACATTTCAAACTGATGGCAGGGGTGCTTTAACTAAAGCTTGTTTGATGAACTTTAGTTAGTGCCCCCACTGCCATTTTGAAACATGGGATACTGAATACACATGATGCTTTAATTAGAGCAGCTCTCAGAGCTGCTCTAATTAAAGTACCCCTTCCCCCTCTGCCCCGGAGCATGTGTGTAGATACCCAGAGATACCAGACCTCCTTTTCAACAGAGAAGGAAGTGCATGCATTGCTTCTCGGGCACGTGCAGCAGTACAGACAGACACTCAGGCTCGATAGATCCTATCACAAGGCTTCCTGCTGCCTGAGTTGCACGATCCGCTCTTCTTAATCAAGACCGTCCACAAAATCATTAGCACAGCTAACCCTGGAGGTAGACAGAGAGCATGCTTCATTGAGGATGTTAAATAGGCCAAGGTGACAAACCTATGTCCATAGCTACAGTGAACAGGTTGGCAAGTTAGGTGGGCCTGGCTCTGTCTCTGCTAAATTGGAGTATCAGATTTCAACCCTGCTGTATGATTCTTCAGTGAAAAAAATGAATTAGATGCAAGGGTTGGCTTTGCCCAGGACCGTATTTCTCCTACATTTGTGTCTAACAACCCAGATTCGAACTGTGTCTTCTTCACACAGGCTTTGTGGACGTCGCCCCAGCTGACACCGTGGCATGCAGAAGTCAACAGAATTTCTGCCGCCTCGGGACCTGCCCTCCAACATTTGAAGCTTCAGGCACTTGCCACAACGGAGCCTTGCTTTGCTGTTCAAAGTAAAGTGCTACCCAAGCTGTGGAAAACCACACGGTGGGAGAAGGGGAGGGAAAGGGAGACAACATCAAAGAAGCTATTGAAACAGGGAGGGTGAACGTGAGCAGCTGGGTGAGCCAAGAGGAAGGTTAAATGGGAATGTAGAGTGCACTGGTATTTAGGAGCTAGACGTCCTTATGCGGCTGGGATCGGTCTGCATGAGTTTAAGGAACAGGGAAGGTTGACATTTCCCTGTATGGAACAATTTGCTGAAACTTTTCATTGATCATTTGAATTGTAACGGGAAACGAACTGATTAACACCATCTATGGCTATGATAATGATGATGATGATGATGTGCATTTCTACACATAGCTGGTGGAAAAACAGATTTCCACAATTAAAAACAATATATTTTTAAAAGAACAAAAAGGCGGGGGAGGGACAGGATCATTTACAATTTTGCATTTTCCCTTGATCTTTTCCCAATCAACTCTATCAAGGAAAAAGAGTGTGTTTCAGTAGGAATAGTAAATAGGTTTGGATGTGCTTGTCGTGGATGTCTGCTCCGATGCGTGCTAATTAGCATGCATTGGAGCAGACTCAAATAACTGAGTGTCCTGGAGCGGGTTAATTAACATGCTCCAGCAGCCTCCATGCCACATCCATTCACCATCCTCGTTCTTCAAAATGGTTGGGGGGGAGGTGCTTTAACTAAAGCTCATCGAGTTGAAGTTCCCCTGTCACCATTTTGAAGTGTAGGATGCTGAATACACCTGACGCTGCAGGTGCTTTAATTAGAGCAGCTCTCAGAGCCATTCTAATTAAAGCACCACCACCCCCCTGACCCCGGAGCACATGTATAGATGCCCATCATGCCTGAATTTGTGACTGAGAGGGCATATACGTTTACACAAGACGTTTACTGCAGAGCTGGCTAATTAGCTCCGCGGTAAAGTCTCACCATCTACACGTGCGGTGTAGGCCAAAGTATTTGCTATTAGGCCAAAGTAAACTCATTACTTCCACTGTAGGATAGTACTGCCCAACACAAATACTATCCTACTGCAGAGCCACAACGCATGTGTAGATGCTGACCAGAGGCTACCCCCTCACCAGCAACCTCGTGCCTCAGTCAGTGCCTCCACCGCATGTTGAACCATGTCAATGCAGCCCTTGGCGGGCACCCTGACCACTGGGGCCCTCTGCCAGCCAGGGCTGCTCCAGCCCGGTTCAATGTGCTGTGGTCCCAGGCGTATGTGTAAATGTTGTGCCCGCAATAAAATCCGGTGCTAACTGCGCCGGAGTTCATTGCGTCAAATTAATTTCACACGTAGATGTACCCAGTGAGTCCAGGTGGATATTTGTTTCACTTTTGTCTTTGAGGCCAACATTTAGGTTCACTTGGAAGTTTTCGGGGGAATAGACTCTTCCCCTTCCCTGAGAGTGTTAAGCTGTGTTTGCCAGGCACATTTGGAAATCAGCTTTCATGTGATAAAGATAAAACATACCTTTGCCCCTCTGCACATACTTCCCCACGGTAGTACCATCCCTTTACAGAGATCATCAGGGCAAGATGCAGAATCGTAGGTGGGGATGTAAAAAGGTATAGCCCACTTAGAGTCCAGAGAGTTACCTGATTTATGCCAACTGATGATTTGGTCTTTTGTGAGCTTTTCTAGCCTCCTTCTTTCATCATGTTATTCAGTTTCATGACTTTCAAGCACATTTTCACAATGCAAGTAAACATGGCCTGATGCAACCTCCAGCACGGGGTTAACAAAACCCAATCTAGTGTTGTGGGGTACTGTAGCTTCAAAACTTAAGGCAAGTTTCTTCCTGGGTCTTTGATATATTCTAAGGTCACTCATTTGATGAGCTGAACAAACTCAAGTCAAGCATCCGGCAGAACGAGGCACTTGCTTCCATGCCACCTAAGGAAGCAGATCCACTTTTCTCTTACTAGTACTAGAAGGGAAGAAATGTAACCTGTGCTCATGCCAATATTTGGAGGGAACAACAACCATTGCAAGCGGAGATAAAAATGTTTCCTAATGATATTTGATCCAAGAAAGACGATGGTCTGCTCTAAAGATGAAGCTCTCCAAATCTCCGTTATTATGGTTAAAAATCAAAATCTTCAGATTTTCCTCTGATGCCAGTCAGGGTTTAGCCAGTAGACCCATGCTAGAAGAACATATTAAGGGCCAAGAAAGGCCCAAAGGTGCTACATCAGCTGCAGGATGGCCCCCCTCAAAAAAGAAATTGGTCCAAATGGTGTAGATAAAAGGGTAAAGGGATGGCTATGTTAAGGGCCCTGTAAGATGAGGCTAGATGAGATCCTTCAGGATCTTACATCAGTGAAATAACACACTTCCTTTTCTACCCTTCTAGGGTTCCAGGAGTCTAAGAGATTTCCTCACAACACCAGAACCATTCACACTGCCTGACGGAAGCCTACTCAATGAATTCCTTTTTCTAGACCTTCCTGCAAGATCATTAGAACAAAAGTTTCCTACAACCATATGATGGGGTGGGGGAACAACCAATCAAAGTCATCTCCAGCTCTCCGAGACCCACTTGTCTTGCTTTTAATTAATACAGCGGCCTTGCCAGCACTTTGCATGAGTATTCCAGTCTACCTCGCCGGGATGTTTCCAATACTAATCAGTTCATGTTTTTGCAGCTGTTTGGGAGATGAAGGATAAAACATATTCAAATTATGATTTTAGTCATGAAAAAAATAAAGGGTATTTTAACCTTATTGCTGTGATCGTGCACTGTTGTGTTTTTTTTAAGCCAGTAATAGGTTGGCTTCAGAGGTTGGATAGGAAACAGTTATTGATGTAAACGGTTTTTCTTTTTTAACATCTGCGCCCGAAAGCTTGCTAAGAACTTTTTTCCAACGACTCAGTTGGTCTAATAAAAGATATCACATCTACCCAAAGAAGCTGGTCTGCTTATTGATACAAACACACTATAGAGACTCTAAATCCAAGGAGGAAGAAGACCAGGGTTTTCGAGTGTTGGAGCTAAGGGACATCCCAAAAAACAATAGTCTAGCTCAGTTTGTGGTTCTTATTCAGTCAAAAGCTTCATGATGCTGCTCCTTCCAGCAAAATTCAGCAAACACATGACAATGACTACAGAGTAACTTACCTAGGTTTTACTCTGCAGTAAATAGCGGACATACCGGGTGTGTCTACACATGCACATTTACTGCGCAGTAACTTAAATTACTGCACAGTACAGGCACATGTTTACATGTGCACGCCCCGTACCGCACAGTAAATATGGCGATTTATGCCAACTGGATTATAAATTTGATATACCTACATCCTGCCAGGATCAAATGTATGCCCGATTAGTTATTGCACAGTAACACACGCGTAGACACTTTACTGTGCAGTCACACTGTGTGGGTGGACTGACTTCGGACTAACTTTAGTCCCAAATCAGTCCACACAGTGTTAATGTGCTTTAACGCCCGCATGTGTAGACACCAGCTTATTCCCGCTTACTGCACAGTAATTTACTGAGCAGTAAATTTAAGCGGGTGTAAATGCATGTGTAGACACACCCAGTGCTAACTTTTCCAAGCTATTTGGTGCTATTGCACGCTTGGCCACTAGAGGGCAGGGAAGCTATTTGTATGGGGTACTCCAAGCTCAAACTGACTGGGAAGCAAACTCCAACTGGCATCAGTTTATAGCCAGTCCGTCCTCACTTTCTGAGTGGTAAATGCAGCCCCAAGTGGAAGGAGTTGCACCAGTGTAGGGCTGTGCAATATGTATCCACTCCACTTTTACTCCAGAACAATACATATGTAATCCACAGTCAACATGTCACGTGTCTGCATCCTGAGCAAGGCCTACAAGATTAGGCACTAGAGCTGTCAGTGGGGCTGTAACACTCAGGCAATGCATGTGTGTGTGCATGTGTGTATGTGTGTGTATGTGTACATGCACATTGCACCTGCCTCTGGTGGGGAAATCCAAGTGACTATACCCAATAAGCGGAGATGGGGGAATGTGTGGCCCAGGTGGGGCTGCCACTGTAGCATAGAGGATCCTACATAGATGAGACCTAAGTGCCTTTTTAATACACAAAACAGAAAGGTTAAATTACTGGAAAATGAGTGGTCTTTTCCCCATCCATTTAGAAAGGGGTTTATAGAACTTCTCCCCACCCCGTCCAACAAAAAGAGGTCAGAAACTGTACTCCTAACAGTAGGCATCAGTACGCATCCATGATGCAACACAGGATTACCATTGGAGCGGTAGAGTGTGGTCCAGTGGTCCAGGCAGACTGGCCGTTCAATAGGGAAGGAGAGGGAGGGCCTTCCCATGCACCCTCTGGTCCAGTAGCATGAGGGAGTTTGAACCTACATCTCCCCATTTCCCAGCAAAGCACCTCAACTCCCAGGGCCTGAGCTCGGCAGGCCCAAGAACATCCCCCAAGCCCATGCTGGTGATCCCACCTCTCACCCCAATGGAGTTTGGGAGGCAGTCATCATCCCTATGGATGTTCTCATATCATACCTTGGGGGTTTATATGCCATTATGCACCAGCTTGAACAGAATAGGTTCACTACCAAGCTTGAGCACCTCTGGAGAATAAGTCTAGCTGTGCAGTGGAAATATCATCTCTAATCCATGTAGGCAGCTGTTTTTAACCATGTACATAGCACAGACACCTTTAGGCAAAACAGGTTTTGGGCCTTGGCCGCTATTCTCTCTGGACCCTCAACAGGGGCCCCATGAGTTGCATATAGCTAGTCAGGCTGGGGGCTAGGAGAAAGACAGGGTTTCCTTTTAACCTGCCTGGTCAAAGGCACTGCTGGATCACTGTGCTCGAGATGCTGACCCACATCAAAACCATGAGGAACTTGTGGACCTCCCAGTGAGCAGCTGTGGAGACCCTGGGCCATCCTGACACCTTTGGTCCAGAATGACTGAGACCACAGAGGTCCCCCAGAAAATGCACCTGGCAAAGCATGTCCTCTTTTGCCAGATGTTGCACTTTCAGAAAGGGGAAAACCTCCTTAGTCTAAGGGCCCTGTTTCAACCTTTTTTTTCATGTGAAAAGTGCTCTCTGTCCTAGGAGCAGGGACGGGAACCCAGGACTGCCCCATCTCTGACCCCAGCGCTTTTTCCTGCCCAGGCGGAGGGTCGGACTCGATGATCTGTTGAGATCCCTCTGACCCTAACATCTATGAATCTATGAATCTTCCCTGTCTAGCTCCTTCCTATTTGCCATCCACCAGGCCTCGCGGTTCTTGCCCACTTGGCTACCCAGCGGTCCATCTTCACCAGGAGGGCTGGGGACTGCCCTCACCAAGCCCATTTCACACCCCCGTCATGAGCGCCCTGGCAGAAGCCTCAGCTGGATATACCTCTTTTTAATCCCCTAATCCTAATCTTCACTTCCCCAATCCTCACACCTTGATACAACCATTAAAACCTGGAGGTTTGCAGATAAATCTGGCCTTTCCTGTAGTTTGGTAAACCTTTTTGTTTTGGTTTGGTTGTTTTTTGGTTGTTTTTTTTTTGCTTGGGGAAGTGAGCACTATTATTATATTTAATTAAGCAATGATACAGCTTAATGCTTTCAGGATCTACTTCATTTTGCATTGTTAAAAGGAAATAGAGCACAAGGCATGGCTTATTTGCTGGCTAATTACCTCTTGGCTCCTGCTCTGTGCTGCCTCAGGGTGGTAGCAAGCCAAGTCAGAGCCCAACACCTGGGCTGACTTTGCCAGGCTCCTGCCCCCACGCCCTGTAGCACCATCCCACAACCCCATGTAGATCAAGCCTTTAGTAGAGTACATGACCTGTTGTGGCATGTTTTATAAAGCCCGGCTGCAAACCTTGGCTGTTTTCCCCTGACTCGTCCTTTCTACCGAAAAGCCTACAGCCCCCAGATTGGATTTTCTGCCAGAAATGCACAGAGCCAGCCCCTATTTATTTTTTAATGCGTGTCTTAAGAGATGACGATAAGTCAGCGTTTGCATTCAGTTCAGATTTTGTATTCGACGGCGTCCCTTTAAAGAAGAGCAAAACCTAGTATGATTGAAAGGAAAAATAAAATAATGAAATAAACACGTGATTTTTTTTTTTTGCCTTAAACTGCAAGTTTTTGCCCATGGTGTCTTCTCTAAAGGAACCGAGCTACTTCATAGACTCCAGACTGGGGTAGGGCTTCAGACACAACCTCATGCCCAGGGCTCCTATTACCTGAGTTCAGGCACCTTCCTGCTCTGTGTCCTGGATCATTCCTGGGAGGGACCTAACTCCCTTGGACCCTGTCTGGGCAGGCACCTCATTCTTACCTATTTCAGAGGCTAAATTCAGGGGTCTACAAGACTGGTTGGGGTCAGACCCCCTGTCTAAAGAGCAGCTGGTTTTGCTCTTCAGGAGCTTTGCTCTTATGCACTGCATCCGGCTCCCAGGACCAAGAGAGCTGGCATGTCGGAAGGGGAGGACGAAAACATCCCTTCCCGGGGAGCACACCTTCCCGTGACTCCTCATCCATAACGTTGACAGAGCAGTGCCTGCTTTGGCAGACAGCCCTCGGCTTTGTACACAATGTGCCCCGTCAGAACAAATATTGCCTCTGGACACAAGCAAATGTGGGGACACCCATCCCTCCCTCCCTCCTTTCCCCCCTCCACGTTGTTTCAAAGAACCTGGAGTTGCCAGTAGTTAATTGTACAGTTGAATCAAGGTTGTCATCTTCCCAGAACTAGTATCGCTGCTGCCTGAGCTGCCTGGGATTTGCTGAGGGACAAGGGCGGGGGGGAACTTGTGTAGAAGAGACCAGCTTTTCTTCCCTATTTAATTGCACAAATCCTGTGAGCAGCCCCCAGCTTGACAACGCATTTGGTTTGTGTCCTGTGGGCACTATCCCATATCTGCAGAGCATTGCCATGCTTTGATTGTGCATGGATTTCTCTCCTCTGGCCCCAGCGTGGAAACCACTCTGCAAGGGGGTGGAAAGCATGGACTGGGTGCTTGTGCGGATGCTCAGGGAGCCTTTGCATCTCCCCTGCTGTACTGCAGCATAGCTCCCAAATCACAGAGCCATAGACTCACGGGGCTTGGAGGAGCCTCAGAAAGTCATCGACGGCAGCCTCCCCTTCCAAACAGGACCATCCCTATCTAAACTATTCCAGACAAGCGTTTGTCCAGCCGGTGCTGAAAATTTTCCACTGCCAGCGAAGCCATCTCCTCTCGAGGCAATCCGTTCTAGTGCTTATCCACCCTCAGTATTTAAAAGCTCTTCCTTACATCTCATCTCAAGGTCTCTTGCTGCAATATAAGCCCATTACTTCTTGTCCTGTCCACAGAGGACAAAATTGATCACCATCTTCTTTAGAACAACTCCATTCAGCTTTGATGACTCTTATCACATCTCCTCTCAGTCTACTTAATACTCCAGACTTAATAACCCTCATTCTTCAAGTATTCTTCATCTGTCATGTTTTCGAGACCTCTTCACTTCTTTTGCTCCCCGCAAAATTCATTCCAATTTGTCCACATTTTCCTTGAAGTGGACAAACTGGATCCAAAACCCTAAGTGAGACCCCCCCCCGGGGTGGAAAAATTGCTCTCTGTGTCTTGCATAACACACTCTTATTCATTCATCTCAGCATGATATTAGTTTCTTTTCAACAGCATTGCACAGCTGACTGCTTTTCAGCTCGCTGTAGTCCCCAGCTCTCCTGCAGTGCTGCAGCTTCTCCGGTCAGCCACTAAGAGCTCCAGGCAACATTCCCCAGTTGTGGTTTTTCAAATGTTACCGAAATAAAACAGCACTTTTTTTAACAGAACACGTGCAAGGGCATGCTAGGCACATGGGAGGACCAGCATTGGGTGAGAGGAGCTATTTCACAGAGTGCATAGGAGATTGAATAGCAGCCTTTAACTACCTGAAGGAGGA